CAGGCAGTGTGGCCGCGCCTGTCTCACCTGCCCGGGGCGTGTGTGGTGGCGCGCGGTACGATCCTTCACAGGGTCCTACGTTCTGTTTCAGAGGCTTTATGACGTTCTATCTTACTGGAGCACGTCACACTTAATATATATGACGAGGGTTTATACTGTAAGAAGGATGATAGTCCCGTTCAATAAGGCTCCAGATTTTTTTTTATCGTATAGTGTATAAATTATAACAAAACACCGCAGTCTTCACGTTCACGGTATATGCTGCTATATAAAACTGGTATAGCAGTAACACACACACTGGTCTCACTTCAAGTTTATCCTTTATTGTTAAACGTATCTTTCACAACTGTCACCAAACTCACAAACAGTATTGGGTGACATGACGTAAACACCAGTCTGTCCTGTTAAAAGTATAGTATTATAATAAATGAGTAACTTAATCAATGTTATTAAGTTTTGTGAAATTTAGTCTTGGTATAATCATTATTATTTTGTTGTACATTAATAATATTAATGGTGAATATTTTTTACTATAATTATTGTTATTTCAACGTGTTTAAATAACCTGTATCGGGATTATTATTATTATTATTATTTCAAAATATTTAAATAACCTGTCATGAGTATTACCATTACATGATATTGTTTTCCGGTACAGGATATAATATTGGAACACCAAGAGGTTTTCAGAGTTTGACAGACGACACTAAGTAATATTTGGAATAGATCATTATTTCTTTATAAACGACAATTAATTATCTCAAATGAAACTCAAGTGATTTTATTAATATCCTGTGACGTTTGGCTGATATGGGGGACTAGTTAGTGTATTATGTTAATTTTGCGGGACTTCAAAGTAATAGTTCAACTGTCAACGAATGTAAAGAAATTGTGTCTGGCAGTCGAGGTGACGGAGGAGAACACATACGCTTACGAGTTTGTTTTCTTCTAAATTGTGATGCAGTGTTTAGCGTTTACGAGTACCTTAATGTGATCTAGATGCTGCAACGTTCTCCTAAGGACCTAAACTGACGTAAGAACAGAGAAGTGACGGAGTGTGGACAGATAGTGAAAATTTGTCAACATATATATAGAACGAGTGGATGGTCTACTTCACATTACTCATGGTCCGTTATTACATGTTCTTTGTTATTATTAGTGAAGTTTATGGAGACAGATAATATTTTTACACAATAATAATGTACACGTATTCTAGAATGCATTATTGTATCCTTAAAAAATGCCTTCATTGAGTCATATTTCGAGAAACTGTCACAATAAATTTTGACGTAAAATCCAAAATGGCGTCGTCTACCTTCGCCACAGGTAGTCAGCCAAAGGTCAAGCGACTCCACTCTGAGCCTCGTACTGACAATTTTACCTGACAATACTTGGTAAAGAAAGGCTGTATGTAAAGTTGATTGTGATTGGTGGATCTATTCATTGTTATTTAAGAGGAATTGTATAATGTGGTCTAAGGTTGGTATTTGAAATTGGTTTGGTTGTGTGGTTAGGTTAAGGTTTGGTTATGGTGGGTTATGGTAAGGTTAGGTTAGGGTTAGGTTAGGTTAGGTTAGGTTAGGTTAGGTTAGGTTAGGTTAGGTTAGGTTAGGTTAGGTTATGGTAAGGTTAGGTTAAAGTTCTCGGTTTCGTGGATCAAAGTATCAGGCAACACAGAGAACTCACAGAATTTCAAAATAACCCGTAATTTGAGTTTTAATTCGTGTAGATATATCACAAATACATGACTTGTGTATACTGGAGTACTGTCAAGCATTGGGAGAACAGACACATGACGATACACCTAACCTAACCAAAACATTTCGTCCAAGGTTTTAAATTTCAAAGAAAGAAAACGGAAAAAATATAAAGACAGAAAACGTAACGATACATTCTTTTAAGGGGGGACTATACAGGACCACCAATACCCATACACTAAAGTCGGCTTACCAATCAACCACTGGGATTGTGGAACACGTTTAATAGCCAACATCACTATGGGTGGAAATTAAAAGCAAACAGATTGGATATCACGTGGCTTCCCGACGTAATTGACTTGGTTGTGTTGGATTACGTGTTTTGAAGCCTAGGGAAAACACCTCCCTTCCTCCCTCCCTCCCTCTTACCCCTACATCCTACCTCTACTTCTCCCTCCCTCTTTACCCCTCCACCTTCCTCTAGCCCAGGTGATGTTTGGACGAAATTCCACTGGACATGACAAATGATTTGCTGCCTTGGTTAGGTTAAGTAAATAGCCTATCTAGTAAATAGCGCCTCCACTCAATAGCACCTCTAGCCAATAGCCCATCTAGCCAATAGCCCGTCTAGCCAATAGCCCGTCATACAAGACACGAACCTCTCGGGATTGCGGCTTGAAAACTTGTCAAGATTCCCGGAAGAGTGTGGCGCTCTCCACCACTTACTGGTTTAAAATGTTTGGCCCCTGCCTTACTTGGTGGCTGTCAGATACTCGGTTTTACTTGGTGGCTGTCAGAAACTCGGTTTTACTTGGTGGCTGTCAGAAACTCGGTTTTTACACGGTGGCTTTCATTTCCACTTCCAGAAATTGGTTATTAGAGAAATTAATTTGGAAATGAATTCTCAGGTTGGCAGTGACCAATGAAATATGCTTTATAGAGAGTAAATTCTAGACTGAGAAATATTTGAGAAATAATCGTGATGCTGAGTAGAATAATGAGAAATACTCGAGAAATACAGTGATTGTTAATTAACGGTGTGGAAATGATACCTGTTGCTCTTTACCTGCTTTTGTCAAGCTCTTCAGTAGTCAAGGTGAGGATTGTTGATGTTGTGTTGTTGATGTGTTGTTGTTTACCAGCCGTGTGTCGCCCAGTGAGGGAACCTGTTGTTCATATAAGCGTTGCCACGAGCCTCTTGATTCACATCGTTTTCAGTGGTAGTTGCTTTTACCAGTACCCAACCCAACCCAACCCAACCCAACCCCCAAAAAGTTGAGGTATATGTAAGGAGGAAATGTTTTTATTCAGCTTGTGGTTGTTGACATTTTGTGTGAGTTAGGTGGGAACAATATAGTGAGGTGCGCCATTAGTGGTGTGGGCGACACCTGCCTCCTGCCCACCTCCACCACCAGAATACTCCAAGATAAGCCGAGCCGTGTGGCTTAAAGCTGCCTGTATACTGCTGTGTCCTGCCCCACCCTGCACCACCGTCACTACCGTCCTGCCCCACCCTGCACCACCGTCACTACCGTCCTGCACCACCCTGCACCACCGTCACTACCGTCCTGCCCCACCCTGCACCACCGTCTGCACACACACTCACGTCTGCAGCACCTTTCTGGCACCACCCCCCTGCATCCTCCGTCACCCTACCGTCCTGCTCCTGCCCCACCCACTGCACACGTCCACTACCGTCCTGCCCCACACCCCACCTACACTGTCTACACACCGTCCTGCCCCAAACTCCTGCCCCCCACCCTACCACTGCCACCCACCCTCCACCACCCCTCACACAAGTCTTGCCCCCACCCTACACCACTCCCTGCCCCTCCCCCACCCGTCTGCCCCACCCTACACTGTCTCACCCACCCCTACACTACCGTCCTGCACCACCCTACACTGCAATCCTCTACCCACCTCTCCTACCACCACCCTACCACCTCCTAATCCCCTCACACCACACCCTACTACCGTCCCTCTTCCTCTCCCCACTACTTCTACACCACTACACTCCCCACCATCCAACTGTCCCTCTCCTCTACCTCTTGTCATCCCCTCCTGGAAGGTTACGATAATGTCTTTCGTCGCTTGCTCTCTCTCCTCTCTCTCTCTTCTCCCCATCTTCTCTCTCTCTCTCTCTCTCTCTCTCTCTCTCTTCTCTCTCTCTCTCTCTCAACACGATAGGCTCTTAACGTATATATGCCGCGGCAAGAAACCGGATTTTTTCACCGACGCTCCCTACTTCCTTCCTTCCCTACCTTCCTTCTCCCTTCTCCACCCTTCTTCGCACTCCCTTCCTCCCTCCATTACTCCCTCACCTTACTCCTTCCTCCTTCCCGCCCCCCCCTTCCCACTCTTTAACTCACTCCCTCTCCCTCCTCCTCTCCCTCTCCCTTCTCTCCTCCTTCTTTCTCTCGTTCCTCCTCCTCATTCCCGTCCGCCTTCAATTTCTTCCGACGACTTAAACCCTTGAGTACGATAACATAAACCCTTGAGTAATAACATAAACGATAACCCCTTGAGGGTACGATAACATAAACCTTGAGTACGCGACTTAATTGTACGATAACCAAACCAGCGAGTACGATAAGCAAAACCCTGGTACGATAACGCAAAAGCGTACATAAACCCTTGAGTCGATAACGCAAACTACCGAGTACGATAACGCAAACCGCCAGGTACGATAACATAAACGCTAGTGCGATAACGCAAACCCCTGAGTGCGATAACATAAACATGAAACCCCATTGAGATACGATAACATAAACCGCCCGCTTGGGATACATAACATTGAGTACGATAACATAAACCCATTGAGGGAGGAGGGGCTTTTTACGTGGAGGAATTTGAGGTTGGGGTGGTTGGGGAGAGTTCCGTGTTGGAGGCTATGGCTGTCTTGCTTCAATGTGTGTGTGTGTGTGTGTGTGTGTGTGTGTGTGTGTGTTCCTTCCTGTTGGCCGGTACGCTGCTCTATACCCGCTTGTTGAGTCTTCATTTGTTTTGTTTTATAGCTTTGTTTTGTAACGTCCCCCCTCCCTTTCTCCCTTCTTGTCAATTTTCTTCGTCTGTTTCACCTTTATTTCTCTTCTTCTGTATTGTTGTTGTTGATTTTGTTATTGTTATTATTATTTTATTTAGTTCGTCTTACAAAAACATGGGTGAAGCTTACAGTGCCGTGGCTCTCTCTGTCTATCTGTCCGTCCGTCCATTTGTCTGTCTGTCTGTCTATCTTAACATGCTGCTCTCTGCCCCGTAACAGGAGCGTCGTCGCCCTGATGAATGCAACATTGGACAGGTGACTTGGCCGTTGTAGGGAGATATGACGGTCCTTATTCATCATGAGGTCAGAGGTTGGGGTCATGAGGTCAAAGGTCAGGTTCATGAGATCAGAGGTCAGGGTCATGAGGGCAAAGGTTAGAGACATGAGGTCAAAGGTCAGGTTCATGTGGTCAAAAGTTAGTGTCATGAGGTCAAAGGTCAGAGGTAAGGGTCATGAGGTCCAAAGGTCAGTATCGAGGTCAGGGTCTGTCTCTCCTCCAGGTCTACGAGATAAGACAGAAATTTACTCGGGACATCTTGAGAGCTGTGATCCCCGGAGGGCGTGAAGACGAAGGAGGCAAGTTGAAGAGTTGCGCGTCTCGGTCATAACTCCTTCAGGAGATCAGTGCCACTTAACCATAACTTTTGAGCTTTACCTAAATATGACTTAGAGGGCCATATGATGTTGGGGGGAACTTTGACTGTATACTCCTTCATTACACACATACACACACAACACTATCATCACCACATACATACACACTATCATCACCACATACATACACACTATCATCACCACATACATACACACTATCATCACCACATACATACACACTATCATCATCACATACATACACACTATCATCACCACATACATACACACTATCATCACCACACACACACATACACACTATCATCACCACATACATGCACACTATCATCACTACATACATACACACTATCATCACCACATACATACACACTATCATCACCACATACATACACACTATCATCACCACACACACACATACACACTATCATCACCACATACATGCACACTATCATCACCATACACACACATACACACTATCATCACCACATACATACACACTATCATCACACACACACACACACACACACACATCACCACACACACACACACACACACACACACACACACACACACACACACACACACACACACACACACACACACACACACACACACACACACACACACACACACATCACACACACACACACACACACACACACACACACACACACACACACACACACACACACACACACACACTATCACACACACACACACACATACACACACACACACACACACACACACACACACACACACACACACACACACACACACACACACACACACACACATCACACACACACACACATCATCACACACACCATCATCACCACACACACACACACACATCACACCACACACACACACACACACCACACACACACACACACCACACACACACACACACACACACACACACACCATCATCACCACACACACACCATCATCATCACACACACACACACACACACACACACACACATCATCACCACACACACACACCTATCATCACACACACACACACACACACACCACACACACACAACACATCACCACACACACACCATCATCACTAGACACACACACACACACACACTATCATCACACTGTACACACACACATACATACATTATCGTTCCTACAAAACACACACACAGTGTCACACACACACACACACACACACACACACACACACACACACACACACACACACACACACTCAATAATCACTACATAATTAACCTAACTGTAAGTATGTACTGTTAACTATGCACGGTATCCAACCTCACTTCTGCCAAACGACTCTTGTTATACAATAAACGTAGATCTTTATATAACGTTAGGTCAACTAATGAAATGGGCACTCCAAACATTATATAAGTGAAAAAATTAGATCTGTTCCTGAACAGATCGTGTAAATCTCCCACCAAAATTACCTTCTCAAAAACTGGTTCATGCTCTCGACCTTTTGCCACAATAAGAAATCTAAATATGGATTTTTATATATTTTATGACGAAAACACCGTCAATAAGGTATGTGAGACCGTATACAATCCTGGTCCTTTTATCTAACTACCCAGTGACCCGAGATTGATGGTTAAGGTAAAACTAATGAGGCACAGGAAGAAGATAGCCAAGAGAAGATTACCTGTGGCATAGTTGTTTTAAGGCGAGAACGTCCTTAAGTAATTGACTTTGTACACCGGAGTTCCGCGTAAGTCCACACTCCACTATGAGGTGGTATCTTGTAGCGAGCTTTTTCCAATCTCTCCTGCGACGCCTCACGTCCTTCTCGGGGACCCCAATAGAACATGGAGCCCGTATAATAGTTTTATTGCCACTATGCCTCGGGGTTACTTAACCTATTCGGGACCAGTCACTGAGAGCACCCTATATACTGATAGAACCCCAGTCACTGATAGAACCCCAGTCACTGAGAGAACCTCAGACACTGAGAGAACCCCAGTCACTGAGAGAACCTCGGACACTGAGAGAACCCCAGTGACTGAGAGAACCCAAGTCACTGAGAGAACCCCATATACTGAGAGAACCCCAGTCACTGAGAGAACTCCATATACTGATAGAACCTCAGACACTGAGAGATCCTTAGACACTGAGAGAACCCCATATACTGATAGAACCCCAGTCACTGAGAGAACCTCAGTTAGTGTGGGTCCCACAGATAGTGTGGGTCCCACAGATAGTGTGGGTCCCACAGATAGTGTGGGTCCCTCAGATAGTGTTGGTCCCACAGATAGTGTGGGTCCCTCACATTACACACGCCTGGTCAGCACAGGTGATGCTCAGTAGCCAGAGACGACCGTCCAATTCGTATAATGCTTGCTACTGTAGGGTGTGCTCAAAGTATTTCTCCTGTTCCCAATATTGTTTTATATAATCCTGTTTTATAATACGTGGTTAATAATCGCTCAGGTAGTAGTTGATCTTGAATACCTGGTGTTCTTACCTGTGGCGTACCTGGCGATCCTAGCACACGTCAGGTTCTTTAAGTGTGCTATGTAACCTCCAAGAAGAGTGACCAAACAAGAGAGTTAAAAGTTTGCTGACCAACACTGGGCATTTTGCGAGCCGTGTAATATGCTGGTTCCTCCTGTTGCTGAGCACTGCGACGTGTGTAAGGCGTGTATATGGGAGCATGACCATCACTGCTATATGATTGGCAGTTGTGTTGACAGAGACAACGTGGAGTCCGTCCTGCATATCCTAATTAGCTTCATTCTTGTAAAAGTAGTTATCGTGGTAATATTTTTAATCTATTTGGCTGAGTATGGCCGCAATATCTTAGTTGAAGGGTTAATCTTCCAAATAGTGTTGGCTTCGCTCGTTCTGAACCATTGCAGATTAAACCTTCTTCTTCGACGAGAAAAGATGAAAAATAAACGCCGTACATATTTTAATGATAAATATTACGAGGAATTTAAAAATTAAATTAAGGTTCGGGAAGTGATTTTAGTGGCAAATCAGTCAGCCTGTCCCTTTAATGTTCTAAATCGTTTTGGGGATAACTAGTAAAAATCTTACCAGTAAATGTCATCCAGTCCCTTAGTATCTGAGAGTCTCATAGATGCTCAAGCATAACAGGACGAACCTTTAAAACTTACTCTGTTGAAGTGTGCAAACGCATTCTTTGTGGTAATCCCTTTCTGTTTTACCACGATTGTGCTTGTCAGGATGGCTGAAGTACTCCTTTAGATGATAGAGGACTTAGGCTTGGTCCTCGTGGTTCCCGTCTTCATGATCTTTGTTTCTGCTCATATCCTACTGATTACGTGTGATATGATATCCCCAGGGAGAGTGACCAAACAAGACGGTAAAAAGTTTGCTGATGAACATTGGACATTTTGCACACCGTGTAACATGTTAGTTCCACACACACTGTGTGAATGGCTCTTCCTATTGTGTCCTGGCCACCAACTTCATCTTTTTCATCCTGGTTTTCCTCACATTAATCATCTTCGGGTTCTATATGGCCAGGTACGGAGTTACCCTGCAGATGGTGAGCCTGTTAATTTACCTATCGGTGTTTAATTGCGTCCTGGCTTACTTTATTACCAGGCAACTTCAGCGACGCCAAAGGTTGAAAGACAAATTCCCAAAATATTTTAGTAATAGTAAATATGACTAATTCTTCTTGCGCGACACGACGGTCACAAGACCTGGGGACGACGACAGAACAGTGACAGGACCCCCACACACCTGAGAACGACGACAGAACAGTGACAGGACCCCCACACACACCTGAGAACGACGACAGAACAGTGACAGGACCCCCACACACACCTGAGAACGACGACAGAACAGGCGGGACCCCACACACACCTGAACGACGACAGAGCGGTGACAGGACTACACCTGAGAACGACGACAGAACAGTGACAGGACCCCCACACACACCTGAGAACGACGACAGAACAGTGACAGGACCCCCACACACACCTGAGAACGACGACAGAACAGTGACAGGACCCCCACACACCTGAGGACGACGACAGAACAGTGACAGGAAGAAATGTAAACATACGAGATGAACAACGGTGATACAGAGATTTCCGAGGAGCAATGATAAGTAGGAATCTTAAACCAAATCAACAAAGTGTATTTGCTGGAAACGTCATCACCATTCACTACACTACCTAGATGTGCTCGGGTGACAGGTTGAGATTACCACTTCTTTCCACTCACACTCCCCCTCCCCCCATTTCGCCCTTCACCACTCTTCGTCCCCCCCACCTTCATTCCCTTCACACTTGGACCCCCCTCGCCCTTCGCACTCTTCCGTCACATAGTATTTTAGATTGACAATAATTTTTAGGCAGACACGGACAGACAGACAGACAGACAGACAGTTACTCAGGTGTATATGTACATTAATTCATTGGATAGAAGAACAAAATTGACGAATATGGAATAAGAAGGAGGGAGAAAAATGAACGACAGGGAACTTAAATAAAAAAATGCAAAATTAAAAAAAATAATAAAAATAAATAAATAAATAAACACGAAAAAAAAGGAAGGTAAATTTGATAAAAATAGACGTAAAGAATGAAAAAAAAATAATATGGAATCAGAGGAAGAAAAATAATAAAGATAAATTATGAGAAGCGTAAGATGAAAATAAATAAGTAAATGGAGAGGAAAAACGCGAATAAAATAATGACGAAAGAAGATGGGAAGAGAGTAGAAGGAAAGAGAAGGTAGATAGTGATGATAATTGACTTTTGAAGGACAGCCGAGATAGATAAGTAGATAGATGGATGGATGATAGATAGCTGTGTTATATCCCTCCT